ATCAGTACGCTAGCGGCATGCGGAGCAAGGTGTCCACGCACGGGCTCCTTCATGGCCAACTCAGGAGTCCCTCCCCGTTGGTCCGGCACTGTGGCAGAACCGTCGGTGGGCACAAGATTGTTACACCAATTGCACACGACTGACAGCCCCTCTCTGGCAGGCTTCCGTGAGACGTGATTCTTTGTTTCTTCATGCAACTCAGGGGTGACAACCTTATTCAACTTCACATCGCCCGCCACTTCAAGATAGCGGTCGACACAGGAACGTAGGAACTGTTCCATGTCATAGGTCACCGTTGTTACTCGGTGTCCGTTCCCGAGAGTGACGTTTCCCTTGCTTTGATTGCAACCAAGGTACATGTCAAGTCCTGTCTCGGGCTCAATCTTCAAACGTGTACGCAACATGCTCCACCCTTGGGCAAGGTTCTTCTGCAGCCCTGCCATTTTGAAGTCGTCGACATACACAACCAGAACAAGCTGGAGCTTTTCATGATTGTACACTGAAGGCCATTCTTCGCCGATGGGCTCAAAACCAACGGCACGCACCGACTCATCGCAGTGCTGCTCCCAAAATGTTCCCGCATCTGGGTGTCCGTACAGCGCCTTCCTCAACGGGACGACTGGTCTTCTGTACTTATCCCATTTGCATTCACTTGGCACGGCCTCCGGTGGCAATTCAATCCAACACGGCGTGCCTCTCAAGGTGGCTTGTATATACGCCTGAACAGCGTCGGCCATCTGCACATCCCAGCCATCATGACAACCCAGAAAATCCGCCCAACGCGAGGCTTCAAATGAAGCAGGGGAGTTCCCCAAATCTTGAAACATCGCAGCCTCAAAGCTTTGGTTCTTCACTTGGTTCCCCAGCAACACGCCTCTACCCTTGAACTTCCTCTTAGGATCACCAACAGGCAACTGTGAGTGCTTTTCAACGCAAATGCCATGTGCGCGAGCCATGTGTGTTTCTTCCCCTTTCGCTTTTGCTTCCCTGGCTACAGCGTCATATTCGCGCACCGCGCCAAGATCGAAGACCCCCTGGTCGATTAATCCCGACCACTCTTTCTTCATTGATGCCAATGCATCAGGGTTGGTCAACATCTCTTTCCGGCCTACCGGCCTGGATACTAAAGCGTCGAAGAATCGTACAACTTTCACAGCCTTCTCTCTGTGCTGTATTCGCTCAGAAGTCACGCACGGCATCGATGGGTACTTCTTGGCTTCACCGTCCTCGCCTATCGCAGGCATTGCGAGTGGCACTTTTCCAGAAACTATCTCAGCAGACTCCTCCCATTCATACCAGGTGAGGTCCGTCGATTCGTCGACCGATGGATCCGTCCCCGATGCTGTCTCAGCTTCGTCTTTATGACTCTCCATGACTGATGCAACCGCCTTCGTCCAGTTTGGAGTCGACTTTGATCGCTCCTCAGACTTGAACTTCCAGGCATAAATTACCACCAGACACTCAAATTCTTTCTCAAGCTGAACGTTTCGTCTCATGACGTCTTGGGACTGTTTGGAATCCATGAGAACAACCACCCCGTCGACAGGATTAACAACAATCCTGACCCATTCAAGCTCAGCCAAGTGCTTCCCATCCATTGGGTTCTTGATCTTTGATATGTTCTTCCGCAATCCCCAATTGTACTGCCATTCTACTCCACCCCAGCGGTTCCGAAGCATCGCTCGAATTCTCTTACCACCGGGCATCTGTAATGTCCGTGCCTCTGCCGGCGCGGAAATATCAGACTCTTTACTCTTGGGATCTTCTTCTTTCTTTTTGCCACCGCCCTTCACCTCGGCCTTCTCTTCCTTGGTGTAATATTTACTCATCATCTTCCATTCTTCAGGAGTGAACTCTGGAGGTCTCGATGTCTTCATTAGCCTGAATCCGTCCTTCCCGACAGGATACGGTCTCCCGGCCTTGTCGATCTTAACCTCCTTGCCATCGTCGTTGACGTACGTGATACCATCCCCGGGTAGCCCAACTGACACGTGTGGAAGGTCGGACTTCGCAACCTTTTCATCGCCCTTAGGGTGTCCATCTCCTTTCCCTTTTGAGGAGCTCGGTCTAGCATCTTCTTCTCCTGCATGATCCCCCCGATCTCCGGCGATTACTTCCGGGCCATCGTCGAGCAGTAGACCAGCGATCTGATCGACTTCATCGTCAAGCAGTCGCTTCTCGTCACTCTGCAACAATTCAGGCTCGTAGTCCTCATCCTCGATCAGGCGGTCACGTGCATCCAGACCGATTGCATCGATAGACATCTCTATTCCTTCCAAAGTCTCGTTGGCAACCTTGTACTTCTGTTGTATTGGGAATGTCAGAGGAGATTTCAGGATCATCCTCTCCGTCTGATGTGGCATTCTCAACCGAGGTGGAACCTTTGCCTTCTTGATGTTCAGCTCTGCACCCGCAAATGCAGTAAGTGCCCAAGCACGATACTTGTTTGCCCAATGCATACCGGTGCTCAACACATATCCAGCAAATATACCAGTTTCCCCTCTCGGCTCGAACTTCTCCCTCTTTCCCCCTCGTGCTTCGCTCGGCTTGAAGTCCACTAGCGCACCAAAAGGTATCTTCTCGCCCTTGAACTCCTCGCCATGCAGCCTCATCCATGCACTCGATCCGTTCACCTCTTCGATGTTCATGAGATGGCACAGAGTGGTGATGGCCTGCACCCAATAACACGTGGGTAGACCGGCATGTACTAGACAAGCCGAAGTCTGGTCAATGATGAATTGATTTGTTCTTTCAGCAAGGGAATTGTTCTGCGGCCGTCCAGGCAGCGATAGGTCGTGGTTCAGCTTCAGCTCCACGCACGCATTGATCAGTTCCGGGCCGTCATCTGAATATACCTGCTTGATTTTCCTCCTCCCGCAGAAGTGCTTGATAGCCCTGACGACTGAGTCAGTGTCTCTTCTCGCGGTGGGATAAGCCATGATAATTCCGGTATATATGTCCCGCGCATACCTGCCTTCCACTTCATACCTGATGCCGTCACAAAGTCGAACGTCACCAGGTCACCGAACGTCTTCACTTCTCTTTTGAAGGCTCCCGTTCGTGATCTGAAGTGTCTCATCTTTGCCTTGACGCATGATTCACAGAAAGGATTTCGGTATCTGTGTGTAAGCAAATGAGCGATGGAATTGGCGTCCTTCTTGAGGACCCCCACTTTCCTCTTTATTGATGATCCTTCGTACACATCAACTTCGATTCCGGCATCTGGATCGTCTTCATCAACCTCTTCCTCGTGAGCTTCGGCATCACCATGTCGATGCGGGACTGACCCAACATCTACAGGTATTTCCTCAGCCACGGGAGGCGGACGTACCGGACCGGCTCCTCCGGGTGGCCCGAAGTCGAATGCCCCGTCGTGGTGTTCGCCCTCGGCCTCTGCGGACTCACCGACAGCGGCGGGTGTGACGTCGTTCTCATCGTCACCTCCCTGATCTGCCTCGTCGTTCGTTACCATCGCCAATACTTCCGAAAAGTGCTCCTTGAGGTCGTCTATCGTAGGGCGATGCCTGTTACTCCGAAGTTTACTATCACTCACTAGGTACGTCCTTGACCTGCAAGTGCACGAATCCCTGCTTTGGCGTAACCATGAAAGGTAGTTTACCAGGCATCCAGTGAAATGCATAACCCATCTTCATGCATCTCCTCCCCACTGACAAGACCGTGGGTGTCTCATCCAATACATGCGGCTCGACAGTCTCGTCCAACTCGTCCACGACTATCTTGGCCACATCAGATGTGGAAGTGGAACCATTCGCGGTCTGGAACACTATCTCGTCGTCATCTTTCACGATGTCGACACCCAGGCTCTTCGCCTTGGCTCTTCCGATGAGATCATGACCACATCCGGTGTCCATCAACCATTTCACCCGTTTGCTGATGCACGTTGACATGGCGAAAACGTTCTTCTGCATACCATGCTGTTTCTTCCAGTCGACAGCCGATTCCTTGATCTCGTCCTTGTTCCGATCATACTCGAACATTATGCTGCTCTCCTTGGTCACCGGGAAGTAGTGCTTCTTATATATATCATCCACCACTTCTCTCAGTATCTTCGCACGTATCAATGATCGTTGGACTTGATAAGCTGACAATTCACGATGATCACTGCTTTTGAACTTCTTCTCGTCGACGTACACGTACTGATAAGGCTCATTCTCATTGTCCTCATAACCGTACCATTCCCCTTTTCGTTCCCATTGCCTTCTCTCGTCTTCGAGGTAGGTGATCTCCCCATTCTCGTCGACGTCGTGCACTTCCTTGAACCACACCATTTTCTCGGGGATCTCGGACTCGCCAGACCATCTCGATGATTCGCTCATCGCGTCGTCATCGTGCTCGTGGTAGACAGTCTCGGCTTCGTCCGGTTCGACCTGATCAACGTCCTTCTTGAAGCTTACCTTCCCTGCAGGAGCCGATTGTTTCAGGACTATCGCGGGCATTGCGATGGCCCTCCTCGCAATGGCTGGCGCTGCGGCTTTGGCGGCAGCCTTCGACTTGGCTTGCGCCTTGTCATTTGACGTTGCTGGAGCTGAATTGTTCTTGATGAGCTCATGCCTATACTTGCAAGCGCTTCCCTTATCGCACTTCCCCTTCTGAAACGCGAAGCATGCTCCATCATCCCTCTTTGGTGACGATGATCTGGATTTGGATTTGCCCTTTCCTTTCCCCTTGGACATGCTCTCCAACTTATGCTCCGTCTTCTTGCTGTGGGAAAAAGTGCATTCATTCCCTTTCACGCACCCCTTCGCCGATTTGAAGTGGTACCAGCAGGGGTTATCCTTGCTTCCGCCCGGACTCTTGCCTCTGTCGCTGGCACCGTCGGACTTGCCGTT